TCATTATCTATTTTGTGGCTGCAGATGTGGATGAATGATGTGAAATCTAATCAAGTGTTAAATCAGACTTTAGTTCCACCTGGAGTAAATCCACAAGCTACCCTGCAGTATACAAAGTCATTCAAACTAGCTGCACCTTTACCAGCTTTGAGAACACTTTCATGATCAATCATTATAAAACATATCATATATATTATTCTGAAATGGACCAATCTGCACAATGACTACTTTTACTGTCTCTACTTTCACTATATTTTGATGATAATACTTTTATACTTTTACTATTTTACTACATTTTGAATGCAGGACTTTTACTGTAACAGAGTATTCCTACACTCTGGTACTTCTACTTTTACTCAAGTACAAGACCTAGTATTTGTTCTTGGTGGCTCTCTTCACACACCTCACTGCACAATGTATAACACGCTGAAATGTTTTCTTTTCACTTCTAGATATGTCTGTAAAGTAGTGAACAAATTAACCACATTTCAGAGTAAAATCAATCAAATAAATAAATAAATGTTTTCTGATCAGCTGTTCTCTCTGGGATGTAACGATTCTACAACATTACATTTAGCTGACGCTCTTATCCAAAGCGACTTACAATGACCAATTACAGGGATGTTCTCCCTGGAGTAACTAAGGACTAAGTGCCTTACTCAAGAGCGCACTAGTGGTGGTGTTCCTGGCGGGATTTGAACTCACAACCTTCTGATCTTCAGGCCACCTCACTATCCATTAGACCACCACTATCCCTACAAACTACACTACAAAATAAAAGCCTGCAGCTCAAACACCTGATACTTCTGACATATACTGTTTAACTAACACAGTATTCCTACACTCTGAGTACTTCTACTTTTACTCAAGTACAAGATCTTAGTACTTCTACTTTTACTCAAGTACAAGATCTGAGTACTTCTACTTTTACTCAAATACAAGATCTGAGTACTTCTACTTCTACTCAAATACAAGATCTGAGTACTTCTACTTTTACTCAAATACCAGATCTGAGTACTTCTACTTTTACTCAAGTACAAGATCTGAGTACTTCTACTTTTACTCAAGTACAAGATCTGAGTACTTCTAGTTTTACTCAAGTACAAGATCTGAGTACTTCTACTTTTACTCAAGTACCAGATCTGAGTACTTCTACTTTTACTCAAGTACAAGATCTGAGTACTTCTACTTTTACTCAAGTACCAGATCTGAGTACTTCTACTTTTACTCAAGTACAAGATCTGAGTACTTCTACTTTTACTCAAGTACACACACACACACACACACACACACACACACACACACACACACACACACACACACACACACACACACACACACACACACACACACACACACACACACACACACACACACACACACACACTTTAATGCATAATCCGGTTTTTAAAATATGTGATTTACTTTATATTTAAATGTGTTTTAATACACATTTTATATAACTGAATATATTTGTTCTATATATTTATATTTCTAATTCACACTTTCTTTTGGTCCTTTAAGTTTTAATGCGAGTCATTTTGTACATTTAGTGATATTTGTAACTTTTTCTTGTAGTATTTCTTGTATTTAATTGTTGTACTTGTACTTACATCTGAGTACATTTTCCACCTCCGAGTGTTTTAATATTCTACATTAGAGTTAAATAAAACTGTATATAAAAACATGGTTTAATGAATACCTCCAGTCTCAGTTTATTTTGATGCCAATAATTATGTACTTCTACTAAAGTCCTATTTTCAATTTAAGTATTTTATTTGTAGTATTTTTCGCATTTAGAGACTTTTTTTCCTGCCGGTTAATATTCCACATGATATTTAAAGTGAAATCAAATGTTCATTAATATCTCCAGACTCACCCGTCTCCTCTGGTACTTTCAGTTTATTTTGATGCCAATAATTGTGTACTTTTACAAATTGTGTACTTTTAAATGTTTTTATTTGTGTGCTTTCCCTGCAGTCTGAGTCTGACACGATATTTAGAGTTCAATCAAACTGTATATAAAGTTTAATGAATACCTCCAGACTCCTCCAGTCTTAGTTTATTTTGATGCCAATAATTGTGTAATTTAACTAAAGTAATATTTTGAATGTAGGTATTGTATTTGTAGTATCTTTACCATTGAGTACTGAGACGTTCCCTGCAGTCTGAGTCGTTTCTTTTAATTGAACTATTCATATCTCAGGTTAAGGTAAAGGCTCGTTATATCACTGTGTCACAGAGTTCCCATAATGCACTAGGAGAACTATACGTAATGCAGTGTTCAGGGTCAGGTTCGGGTTCGGGTTCAGGTTCAGGTTCAGGTTCAGGTTCGGGTTCAGGTCCAGGTTCAGGTTCAGGTTTCTTTCTTTGTACCCGTAGGTAGATTCAGTTTGCAGAGACAAAGGATCCATCCTGACTCTAAACAACAGACACATCTCTCATAAAAGGACTAGTAAAAAGTACAAGTACACTCTGCTCCGTCAAATGTCAACAATATTTCTAAAACATTTAAGAAAGAAAACACTAGTACAAACATGGACATTCAAAATTCATAATTAAATAAATAAATAGGCCTCTGTGTGACGCTCCTATGATGTGTTCATTTGTGCAATAGCTGCTGGGATCAAAGTGTTTGTATACCGCTTCGTTCTACTCTTTGGGACGACTAACCTCCGGCCCCAAGGAACAAGCGTCTGAGTGCAGAGGGTGGGGGTCATCGTCTAATATGGAGCTGGATAACCGCTGTAACTGCCTGAGGTACAGGCTCTCCAGGTTTATCACTGCCTGAGGTACAGGGTCTCCAGGTTTAGCTGTAACTGCCTGAGGTACAGGGTCTCCAGGTTTATCACTGCCTGAGGTACAGGGTCTCCAGGTTTAGCTGTAACTGCCTGAGGTACAGGGTCTCCAGGTTTAGCTGTAACTGCCTGAGGTACAGGGTCTCCAGGTTTATCACTGCCTGAGGTACAGGGTCTCCAGGTTTATCACTGCCTGAGGTACAGGGTCTCCAGGTTTATCACTGCCTGAGGTGGGAGTCATGGTCTAACGTGGAGCTGGATAACCGCCGTCACTGCACTGTAACTTGTATCCATGCGTTTGTTCATTTCATGTTTATTTGACTAACGTAGTATTTTTAAATGTAGGTATTTTATTTGTAGTATTTTATAGGAGACTTTTCCTGTAGTTTCTAGTTAATATTCCACATGGTATTTAAAGTGACATCAAAGTTGAATTAATATCTCCAGCCTCACCCGTCTCCTCCAGTCTCGTACTGTGAGTTTTACTTGACGGCAATAATTGTGTACTTTTTACTAAAGTTATGTTTTAAATGTAGGTTTTTTATTTGTATTTATTTGAGTCGTTTTTGGTTAAATCAAACTGCATATACAGTTTGATGAATATCTTCAGTCTGCTACTCTCAGTTTATTTTGATGGCAATAATTATGTACTTCGACTAAAGTCCTATTTTCAATTTAAGTATTTTATTTGTAGTATTTTTAGCATTTAGTTCTGAGACTTTCCCTGCAGTCTGAATAGTAAATGAAATGTTAATTAATATCTCCAGACTCACCCGTCTCCTCCAGTCTGCTACTCAGTAACATCCGGAGTGTTCATTTAACACTCTGAGATAAGGGCCATATGTTCACTGGCTCTCAGTGTTAAAATGTACTCTTTTAAGAGTTAAATTAACACTTAAAGGGAGGGATTTAAGTGTTAAATGAACCCTTAAGTGTTAAATGACCACTTAAAGAGTCCATTTTAACACTGAGAGCCAGTGAACATATAGTCCTTATCTCAGAGTGTTAAATTAACACTCCGGATTTTACTGTGTACTCTCAGTTTATTTCTGATGCCAATAATGTTGTACTTTTACTAAAGTAGTATTTTTAATTTAGGTATTTTATTTGTAGTATTTTTACCATTTAATTCTGAGACTTTCCCTGCAGTCTGAGTAGTTTCTAGTTATGGATTTAGAGTTGAATCAATGTGTATATACAGTTTAATCAATATCTCCACACTCACCCGTCTCCAGTCTGCTACTCTCTGTTTATTTCTGAAGCCAATAATTGTGTACTTCTACTAAAGTCATATTTTTAATTTATTTGTAGTATTTTTACCATTTAATTCTGAGACTTCCCCTGCAGTCTGAGTAGTTTAGTATTTAGAGTTAAATCAAATGTTAATGAATATCTCCAGTCAGTTGCTCAGTTTATTTTGATGCCAATCATTTTGTACTTTTACCGAAGTTAGTATGAGCCGTTTTTTTGTTAATATTCCACATGATATTTAAATAAAATGTTTAATTAATATCTCCACACTCACCCGTCTCCTCCAGTCTCGTGTGCCCGTGCGCGCCTCCGTGCCCCGCGTGCTGGTATCCCAGGTAAGCCCCGGGGTGGTGCGCGTTCACGCTGCTGTGGTACGGTGGGTAACCGAGCGGTCTCCCGTACGAGGACGCGCCCGAGGAGGAGGAGAAGGGCCCCTCGTGTTGTGGGGGCCCCACCAGCGCGTGCACAGGGTAATGTCCGTGCGCGTGGCCGTGGGGAGGCTGCTGGTGTCCCGGGTAACCCCCGAACTCAAGGAACGCCGATTTGGAGGGATCCGGCGGGACCAAAGTGTCCGATAATGAGCTCATAGTCATCATATGGGTCGGGGGTGGGAAACAAGAAATGCGGGGGTCATCACACAGGAACACAGCATCAGAGGGAAGAGTTCACAGAGATTCAGAGAGCAACAAATCCCTTTTTAAACACAGAAATCAGAAATAATCCTCTGGATGAAAAGGAAGGTTTACAGGAGCTCCACCCGACACATCCCGGCTCAAGTGTCCGGGAAGAGGCGCTCAGAGGCGGGCAGGAGGAGGACGAGCAGCCGCTGGAGGAGAAACAAGAAGGTTCCAAGAAAAAGTAAAAAAAACTGATTTTAAATCCTAAAACATCTTCTTTTCTCCCAGTGTGTGTGTGTGTGTGTGTGTGTGCTGAGTGGATGTGAGGAGTGTGTTGCTGCTCTCCTCTGCACCGTGTGTGTGTGTCACCTCTCTGCCTCCACACACACACACTCTCACACACACGCAGCGCGCTCATTGGCTGGAGGCTCCGCATGTCATCACAAAGATTGAAGAGAGGAGCAGTTTAATTATGAAGATGATTTTCTGCACAACAAGAGCAGATTCCTCAGTGGCGGAAATAATGACATATTCATTATTAAAGACACATTAAATTATTATATAAGAATAGCACCTCATTGCATTAAAATAACAATTAAATCCCACAAAACCAAATAAAAGCATATAACTGCATTAAAATAACGTGAAAAAGGAAAACAATTGCACTAAAATAAAAGTGAAATAATGACATAAAACTGCAATTTATTTTCGATGTATGCCTAATATAAATGTCCTTAGTCATTTGAAAGCACAACGAGGTAAATGGCTTCATGGTATTTTCATTTTTGGATCGTTTGCATCATTATACAAATAATAAATAGACCTGTATATTTTATTATCAAGTCTTCATTGAAGAAGTTTGCAAAAATATTAATTTAAAATAAAAACAGAAATGAATGCATGAATGCACGTTATGTTCATATATTTCTCGCTTAAAATTATATAAATATACATCATGTTAGGCGTCATGTGTGATAAATATATATATTTTAAATAAAGTGCATGATATTAGTTTATTTTGTCTCCAAGTTTCAGCCGGGTGGCCTCAGACACACACACACACACACACACACACACACACACACACACACACACACACACACACACCACACACACACACACACACACACACACACACACACACACACACACACACACACAGAAATACATTAGTCTTCAAATACTACAACTAAAAGTCTTAATTTCAAAATGTTACTCAATTAAAAGTACAGACGTAGAAAGATCAAAATGTACTTTAAAAATAAAGCACTCATTCTGCACAATGACCCATTTCAGAGTGACATAAATAAGTAAATGTACTTCAAGTATGTAAAGTAGAAGTAATTGATGTTTTGCAGAATAGATCACTTTTTACTGTATTATATGATCCTGTTTTTAAGCAAATGCCCTGAAACACTGAACCGTTATGTCAACACATCTCATATAACTGTATTAGTGGAAAGCAATAGATAATGTATTGAGAGAATGCATTTAATTAAAGTCAACGTCATTGTGTCAGAGCATGTTAGTATTCATACTTTGAATACTGTATATATTAGAAGTACTGCTTCAGACAAAGAATTACTAGTAAGTCTGATAATTAGCCAGGACCATTCTCTAATATATCATATTCCATATAGACTCTCCTTGCACTATTCTATTCTATTTGATTTGTATTTACTTGCACTCTTGTATCTGTGTTATTGTGTTCTCTGTTGGAGGAGCCTGTGACCTCAGATGCTCATTGACATATATCTCTGTACACAGGACAATAAAAGCCTTGAATCTTGAAGAGCTTATTTGAAATGCATTTAGCAGCAGACTCTCTTTCTGCTCCTCGTTAGCTGACGAGCTGACATGATATCATTCTTAACGAGACGAGCGCTGGGCATCGTGTCGTCCTGCAGACTGGAGGAGAAGTGATTTGAGCGACGGCGAGGAGACGGGAGATGTTCCGGCTTGTTTCTGGTTCCTCTTGTGATTCCAGCGGGAGAAGTGTGCAGTTATTACCATCAGATGCTGCTTTCATCTGCAGCCAACATTCCTCCTGCTGAGCCGATCACACCCTCATGCTTTCATTCAGAGAGGCAAGAGTACTTTACTCAAGTAGAAGTACAGATACTCGTGTTTAGAAATACTCTGGTGAAAGTAGAAGTACTGACTAAACTTCTTTACTCAAGTCAAAGTAAAGAGGGCTTTGAAATGTACTTCAGTAAAAAGTACCCATAACTAGCAGCTGTTTTAAAGAGTACCTGACCTCCCTTTATATTAATAGAACAATAATGTCATTGTTAGCTAATGAATGTTTCCATGCTGAACAACGGCAACATGACAACGTTTTCATTGGTCCCTCTTCTTTAGAGAAGACCAGGAAATGATGGATACACGGATCGTGTTCAAATCAATAGGTACGCAATGACTCTAAATAATAATGATCACGCCACCAAACACACATTCAAACTAAAGGAACCAGCCTGTTTGGAAAATGTGAGAAGTAGAAAGTACAGGTATTTGTGTTCAACATGTAAGAAGTAGAAAGTACAGGTATTTGTGTTCAACATGTAAGAAGTAGAAAGTACAGGTATTTGGGTTCAACATGTGAGAAGTAGAAAGTACAGGTATTTGTGTTCAACATGTAAGAAGTAGAAAGTACAGGTATTTGTGTTCAACATGTAAGAAGTAGAAAGTACAGGTATTTGTGTTCAACATGTAAGAAGTAGAAAGTACAGGTATTTGGGTTCAACATGTAAGAAGTAGAAAGTACAGGTATTTGGGTTCAAAATGTAAGAAGTAGAAAGTACAGGTATTTGTGTTCAACATGTAAGAAGTAGAAGGTACAGGTATTTGGGTTCAACATGTAAGAAGTAGAAAGTACAGGTATTTGTGTTCAACATGTAAGAAGTAGAAAGTACAGGTATTTGGGTTCAACATGTAAGAAGTAGAAAGTACAGGTATTTGTGTTCAACATGTAAGAAGTAGAAAGTACAGGTATTTGAGTTCAACATGTAAGAAGTAGAAAGTACAGGTATTTGGGTTCAACATGTAAGAAGTAGAAAGTACAGGTATTTGGGTTCAAAATGTAAGAAGTAGAAAGTACAGGTATTTGGGTTCAACATGTAAGAAGTAGAAAGTACAGGTATTTGGGTTCAAAATGTAAGAAGTAGAAAGTACAGGTATTTGGGTTCAACATGTAAGAAGTAGAAAGTACAGGTATTTGGGTTCAACATGTAAGAAGTAGAAAGTAAAGGTATTTGGGTTCAAAATGTAAGAAGTAGAAAGTACAGGTATTTGGGTTCAACAAGTAAGAAGTAGAAAGTACAGGTATTTGGGTTCAACATGTAAGAAGTAGAAAGTAAAGGTATTTGGGTTAACATTTAAGAAGTAGAAAGTACAGGTATTTGGGTTCAACAGTAAGAAAGTAAGAAAGTACAGGTATTTGGGTTCAACATGTAAGAGTAGAAAAGTAGGAAAGGTATTTGGGTTCAAAATGTAAGAGTAGAAAGTACAGGTATTTGGGTTCAACATGTAAGAAGTAGAAAGTACAGGTATTTGGGTTCAACATGTAAGAAAGTAGAAAGTAAAGGTATTGGGTTCAAAATGTAAGAAGTAGAAAAGTACAGGTATTGTTGTTCAAAATGTAAGAAGTGAAGTACAGGTATTTGTGTTCAAAATGTTGAGAAGTAGAAAGTACAGGTATTTGTGTTCAACATGTAAGAAGTAGAAAGTACAGGTATTTGTGTTCAACAGTGTAAGAAGTAGAAAGTACAGGTATTTGTGTTCAAAATGTGAGAAGTAGAAAGTACAGGTATTTGGGTTCAACATGTAAGAAGTAGAAAGTACAGGTATTTGGGGTTCAACATGTAAGAAGTAGAAAGTAAAGGTATTTGGGTTCAACATGTAAGAAGTAGAAAGTACAGTATTTGTGTTCAACATGTAAGAAGTAGAAAGTACAGGTATTTGTGTTCAACATGTAAGAAGTAGAAAGTACAGGGTATTTGTGTTCAACATGTAAGAAGTAGAAAGTACAGGTATTGTGTTCAACATGTAAGAAGTAGAAAGTACAGGTATTTGGGTTCAACATGTGAGAAGTAGAAAGTACAGGTATTTGTGTTCAACATGTAAGAAGTAGAAAGTACAGGTATTTGTGTTCAACATGTAAAGAAGTAGAAAGTACAGGTATTTGTGTTCAACATGTAAGAAGTAGAAAGTACAGGTATTTGTGTTCAACATGTAAGAAGTAGAAAGTACAGGTATTTGTGTTCAACATGTAAGAAGTAGAAAGTACAGGTATTTGGGTTCAACATGTGAGAAGTAGAAAGTACAGGTATTGGGTTCAACATGTGAGAAGTAGAAAGTACAGGTATTTGAGTTCAACATGTAAAAAGTAGAAAGTACAGGTATTTGTGTTCAACATGTAAGAAGTCAAAGTAAAAAGTGGTCAGAAAAATAAGTAGTGGAGTAAAGTACTGATACCAGAGACATGTACTTAAGTACAGTAACAAAGTATTTGTACTCCAATATTTCCAACTCTGCATTCAGAGCAACAATCCTGCTGACTTCATCTGTCTTTAGGTCCACAAATATATATATATTACAAATGACAAATGACCTCAAAATCGAGTTATTTGCCGGTGGGGAATTAGTCATCTTCTTCCAAAGACCCTATCCTCTTACTAAAGCAGTGCTACTTTTGATGGTAAATATTTGTATTGATTTTCTCAGTTTTTTAACAAAAGCAAGTGATACAGATTCAGTAAAGATATATACACACATGCTGACAAATCAAAATCTTCATTTCAATCCCACCACTCTCCCACCCACCCATTAACCCATTGAGTTACAGGATACAGAGCCCTTTAACAGTAAATACAGTATTTTCATAATGACATTAGTTCAAGGGGGGCAAAGGAGGAGAAAAAACAAACATTTCACTAAAAGATTTAAAAATACATCTCCAGAAAGTAAAGAGGCTGGGACATACCCAAAACATGTGTATTACTGTAGGTAGCAGTGCTACTCTTTAATGACGCCGTGAATAACTGTGTGATATATACCTGGCTGCTAAAACTTCAAAACTGTTACAGGACGTGTATTTTGTAAATAGTGTATTATTTTAAAAAAAATTGAAATGTTATATCTTTAATATTTTTTGTATGCATGTTTCTTAGTTAACATTAAGCTGTCTTTGGCTTTTCTTGCTGTGTAAAAAAAAAATGTAAATTTCCCCTCAAATAAAGGTATTCTGATTCTGAAGTCTCTTTGAAGCTGCTTTCAGTTTTTATGCTGCCCAAAAATGGAACAAAAACTTGAGGTCTTCACGAACGCTGAGGTGTT